GTTTTGGGTGTTTTAGGATGAAGTGTTGCTGCTCACATCATACATCACAGGACCTCTGTTGTGCCCCCAGCCCTCCCTGAGCCACCTGAAGAGCCACAAGTCCTAAGGCAGAGCAGCCACTCTGTCACTCTGTCTTGGCACAAGCCACCGGGTGACGGCGGCCAGGACATCCTGGGCTACAAGGTGGAGAGGAAAATCCTGGGAGTTGGCTGGGAATCCTGCAGTGAGGGCCTGATCCAGAACACAGAGCTCACCGTGGATGGGCTGGCCCCAGGGGAACCCTACAGATTCCGAGTGTCGGCCGTAAATGCAGCTGGGGCCAGCGAGGCGGTGCACTTCCCCCAGATGGTGAAGTTAGGTGAGGATGGACACACGCCCCAGGGAGGACTGCAAGCTCCTGCAGACCCTACATTTTGCATGGCATGCCTGCTTCACCCACTCCAGGCATCTCCCAGTGCAATATTTTTCAGTGCTTGGCTGCCAACAAAATAGAGGAGGAAGAGCTTGGGATAAAAAAAAAAAAAAAAGGCGTTCTGGGCTGCTGTGAACAAAACCTGCTGTGTTTTTAGCACTCAGCACTGATTTCCTCCAAACTGCATCCAGCTGTTTTGCAGGCTGCACTGCATCATCCATGGGTCTCTGGAACTGCATCCATGTGTTGGTCAGTCACCATGAGTGTCTTTCCTGGCGGAGTTAGGATGGAATGAGTGAAAAAGGGCATGCTGGAATGTGTTTGGGGTAACCAAGACCATGACTGTGGGTAGGGAAGTGTTGTCTTCTTCACCCATCTTTCTCTTTTTTTATGCTTTTTATGCGTCTTTTTCAAGAATCCCCACAAAGAAATGCTGGAGGACACAGTTCCTTTGCTGTGTGATGGTGAAACTTTGGAAGCTACAGTGGGATGGGGAGTCTCTCTCTGTCTTTCTTCTCTTGTAACTCTTTCTCTTGTGTCACTCATCTAAATTCCTCAAAATCAGTATAAAGATAAAAAAATACTCTTTTGCTTAAGGTTCAGGCATACAATGACTTTTTTTTTCAAAAATAACTGCTGCCAGTGCTGGACCCTGATGACTCTGCATGCGCTGACTTTGTCAACAACAATTGGGCAATAATCCCCTCACCCTGGTGAAATGTGCAGAGAGGAGGGCAACCTTGAGGGATGTGCTGCTTTTGGGAACCCAGCACTGTCTTTTACATCCCAGTCAACATCTCTGTGTTTAATGTATTTTTCTTCAAGTTATCATGGTTGTGCAAACAACATTCTGTTGGTTGACTTCTTTCCAAAGTAAAGAAGATGCAGAGAATTTTTGGTTTTGAATTCTTTATGCTTTTTGATAATTTTTACTCTAAGGTAGCAAAAATATATATTTTTTTTTTTTATTTCAAGGCAGAGATGAATGCTGCTTTGAAAAATCTCTTTTAATTCTATTTATTCCCTTCAAGACATTTAAGATGTAGAAATCTGTAGAACTTTTATACTGATGATGGGTAAATGAAGACCAGCAAACAAACACAGGAATGTGGAAAATGCAACCACTTCTGCATGTATATGTTTAGATGGAGCTGGTTTAAGCACTGGGAGAGCTTGGAAAGTTGTTTTGATATTATCTTTGGAAGTGCACACTTTGGATGCTGCCAGTCTTTTCTTGTTTTTTTCCTTTGGTTGTCTACAACAGCTAAAAAATCTGGTAATGATGGATGAGCTGCTCGTTTATTTTACGGAGTGTAGTGCCTTAAAGCCAGATGATAATTTGTTCTTTGTGTTAATTCACTTTATTTTTGTAATTGCAGAGCCTCCAGTTACAGTCACCCAACCTCTGGTGGGAGGATCAGTCTCGGAAGGAGGGGTGGCTCGCCTGGAGTGCACATTATCAAGTAAAACTGAGGAGAAAGTGACTTGGTTCAAGGGAAAAGAACAAATAAAAGCTGGAGGGAGATACGAGATCCTCTCTGATGGAGCGAAGCAGATCCTCATTATCCGTGGATTTAAAGCTGAGGATCAGGACAGCTACACCTGCATGGCTTCTCCAGAAGTCAAATCTGTTGCCAGCCTGTGTCTTGAGGGTATGGAATGTGCATTGCTGGGGTGTTAAATCAGGTCTGGTAGGGATATCCAGGGGCATCTCCACAGCTTGGACTGGAATTCATTTTCTTTTACAAGCTATGATAACAATCCACAAGGAATTGTTATTTTCCTGTTTGGCATTGCCCAGTATGTTCCTGCATCCCAAATAGTTTTGAGTTGCTCAGATTGGAGTTTCTGGAGACAGATATTTAAGTTGTGACACTATTGTCTCTACACGAGGCTTTGGTGCCTTTTAAAATGCTTTGGGGTATTCTGTGGATGTCTCAGACAACCTGGAGCATCTCAAAAGGGGCTGGGCAATGTGTAGAAGCATGTGAATGTGACTCGGGCACATCCAGCCAAGCAGGTGTGTCCATGTGAGATGGGAGTCTCAGCTCCCAGCACAGACAGGAAAGCCCTGGGAGATAGGATGAACTTTCCAGGCTCCACTGTCAGTCTTAACAACCAGTTCACCAACTGCAACATTAAAAAGGGCAGAAATCTTTTTATTGGGTTCAAATGTGCAAGGAATTAAAAATAAAAAAAATTAAAAGTTGTTTGGTGAAGTTTTAAGTGCATGTGTAGAATCACAGGATTGCTGAGGTTGGACAGACCTTCTGAAGATGGTGTGGTCCATCCTCCTCCTCAAAGAGTGGTCAGCTAGGACAAGTTCACCAAGATCAGATTCAGTTTTATCAACTTCCCAGAGAGGGTGTGACGTCTCCTTCTCTGGAGATATTCAAAATCCATCTGGACGCTGAATAAAATGATCTAGGGGACTGAGCTTGAGCAGGGAGGTTGGACTAGATGATATCTAGTGGTCCTTTCCAACCTTCCCCATCCTGTAAATTCCCATTTTGTTCTCAGTATGGTGCTTAGTTAAATTCCACTGAGACTCTCCTGTAGAACATTTCCATGTGCCTTCTCAAAACTCACTTTTTGATATTTAACTTCTCATCTGATTAATTCCCTGCAGTTCCCACGGTGTCGATGCTGAAGGAGATTGCCAGGGAAGCTCCCCCTGCCAGCCGGGCTGAAGAGCTGGTGGATGGACACATCCAGCCCAGCCTGCCCCCCGAAGCTGCCCAGGAGGGAGATCTTCACCTCCTCTGGGAAGCCCTGGCCAAGAAACGCCGTATGAGCCGTGAGCCCACCTTGGATTCCATCAGCGAGGTGCCTGAGGAAGAGGAGAAGCTTCAGAAGCTGAGGAAGGAGGAAGCAGAGATGTCTCACTACTACTCGGAGGAGTACTCCACGTGTGATGAGCTGGCCAGGACAGGAGAGGCAGATTTGTCTTTCACAAGCTCTGATGATGAGTCTAGAGCTGGGACTCCTTCCCTCGTAAACTACCTCAAGAAAGCTGGCAAGAAGACCATCAGTGTTACCAGCAAGGTTCAGTCTAGCTCCACAGGAAAATTATGGAAACAGTGGGAAACATCCACAGTGGAGACCACTGTGGCCACCACAGCTGCTCAGCCAGCTGAAACAGAGCTGCCAGATTTAGATGACCCCTCCATGAACAAGGCGGCTGTGAAGATCCAAGCTGCTTTCAAAGGCTACAAAGTCAGAAAAGAGATCAAGCAACAAGAGTGCCCCGTGTTTACTGAGACCTTCAAAGACTTCTCTGGAGAGCCTGGGAGCACCCTGCACCTGGAGTGTGTGGCCCACAGCAAAACTGACATGAACGTGCGGTGGCTGAAAGACGGGAAGGAGCTGTCGGACGGTCGCTACTACCACATCGACAGCTACAGCGATGGCACCTGCTCCCTGATTATCGCGGGCCTGGACAGGAAGGACGCGGGGAAATACACCTGTGAGGCGTCCAATAAGTTTGGCAAGGTCTCCCACAGTGCTAAGGTGGTGGTTGGCACTCAGGAGCCTCCAGTTCTTGCCAAGGACAAGCGGAGTAAGCAGAGCACTGACAGCGAGACGGAGAGCTCGTCCGGCAGCGAGCTGGACGATGCCTTCCGAAAAGCAGGGAGGAGACTCCACAGGCTCTTCAGAGCCAAGATCTCCACGGAGATCTCTGATGTGGAGGAAGAGCTCTTTGTCAGTGCAGACGAAGGGGACATCGATGTGGTTGACCACCAGACGTACCGTGAGGATGACCAGTACATCTACATCAAGTTTGAAGTCATGTCTGAGGCCAAGACGGCCGCCACACGGTTCAGAGAGATGTTTGGTGCTCTGGGAATTCCCGTGGAGATCGACATCTTGGAGCAAGGCCCCAAAAAAATCGAATTGCGCATTGGGAAGGCATCACCTCCCACCCTTGGGAAGTTTGCACCTCCAGTAGCGAGACCTCCACCACCTCTGCTGACTTCTGACACAGGTAGGGAGAGCAAACCTCGTTTATTCCTTGGAAAAGACAGTGGGAACAGGTCACAATATCATTTTTTCACTCTCAAGCGACTTAATTTTTTTTTTTTAATATATGAAGCCCCTTTTCATGGTAGAAATGTCACCTATGACAATGTGATCATAAATACTATGATTATTGTACTTTAATGAATTATGTATGGTTTAGAACAGTTCTGAGGGAGAGATGGCAAGGAGAGGAGCAGGGACAATATATAGTTGGCAGCTGTGGTATTGCTGTGCTGATGGAATATCTTCTTAGTGCTAGGAAGTTTCCTGACTCTTTTCTAGAGAAAAGATATTACTGTGCAATACCAGAAGTCTGGCTAGCAGGAGCCTAAAACATACCTTTAGACAAAACCAAACTTTTCTTTCTTCTCTCCAACCACCCCAACTTTAGCCCCCATGTTCATGACCGAGCTCCAAAACCAGGAGGTCCAGGATGGGTACCCAGTGAGCTTTGACTGCATCGTCATTGGCAAACCCCTGCCCACGGTTCGCTGGTTCAAGGATGGCAAAGCCATTGAAGAAGACGATCACTACATGATCAATGAGGACCAGGAAGGGTGTCACCAGCTGATCATCACTGCTGTGGTGCCCACGGACATGGGTGTCTACCGCTGCCTCGCCGAGAACAACATGGGGGTGGCTTCAACCAAGGCTGAGCTTCGTGTGGACTGTAAGTCTCAAAATCACCGTAGAAAAAACAAGCAAAGTAGCTCTGCTGAGACCTGGTTAATTTATTTCCATCCCCCCACCAAGGAAAGCACAATTTACATTTTAAATAAAAATGTTTTGGCCACTAAATTTTCGCTTGCGAACCTCCCGGGTTCAGCTGGGTTTTGCCAGCTCCAAGGCAAGGTTCAGAGCAAAGCTTTTGGGGTGAACAGATGTGTTTGCCATAATCCAGGGACGTGTGGGATCCTGCTGCAGTACAATATAAAATCCACCTGCCAGTCACTCAAATTAGTAAGGGAACTAGAATCAGTAAGAACTATTTAAGCAAGAAAAATAGTCTCAAAGCTCAGATTATTCAACACCTATGTTTTTCCATTTAACAGTGACCAGCACAGACTATGAGACAGCAGCAGATGCAACAGAGACATCATCTTACTACAGTGCCAAGGAATATATTTCAAGGTAAAATATGGAACTCTGGCTTGAACCTGTGACTCAGAGAGATCAATCTGTGTATTTATGTCAGGGCTGGGTTTGCTGTGTCAAGCAGGGCCAGGTTAATGCCATAAAGGAGCATCCAGCCCAGCTGAGATGCAATAACTGCAACAGCTGCACATTTATCATGGGCAGACTTGCTCTGGAGCCTTCAGGCAATCTGAGGTATTTCCTCAAGGAATCACTCTGTTACTTTTAATGTCACATGGTGCTGAGCCTGTTCTCAGGATGCCAAAGCCCACAGACCTAATTTATGTAAAATAGCTAATTCTGATCCCAAACTCTTACCTGGTGTCCTGATTTTCTTCTTTCTAATTCCAATTGCTGCTCAGCCGAGAACAGGAAGAATCCACCACTGAGGAGGAGCAGCTGCCCCAGATCTTTGATGAGCTTCATGATATTCATGTGGCACCTGGAGCATCACTGGCTAAATTTCACCTGAAGGTGAAAGGTGAGTGGATCCCACGGTATTGTCAGTTTTCCAGGTCTGTTATCAGTGCTGGACAAGGTTTTCCAAGGTGCTTTTCTGCTGAGCATCTTGCACCACTTTTGCACAAATGTGTTCATGCTGCTGAACAGGGACTGTTGGAGAAGACTCAGGCAGATTAAGTGCTTATTTTGTGTCCATATATCCAGGCATAATGACAGGCACGTGCTTCTAAAAACTGAGTTCTGGATTTCTCTGAGCACAGGAGCAATAAGGAATAATAATCTTGACATTATTATTACCACTAATAATAACAACTATCATTATGTATTAGATATATTTATATAATATAAATAACTACATCTAATACAACGTATTAATCATAAGAAAATAATAATATTAATAAAAATAAGGTCAGTCTCCTTCATTCTCTTCAATAAATGGAGCAGTCCTGGGCTTGCCTTCCTCCATTAAGGGGTTTCTCCTACAACATAAAAGCTGCAGAAACATCCCTCTGGTGTTGACTCTGGTAGGGAGAGGTAGGGATTTTCCTGTTTTCTCTTGTTGCTGCCTATAAGAATTATTAGAATGCATTTGACTTCAACATTTCTCCTTGTGAACCTCTCAAATCAGACCCAAGTGTTGATTTTTCAACCTCCAAGGCGTTCAGACATGCAGACAATATGAGGAGGGCCAGAAACTGAGGAGACAGGAAAGAATTTTAACAGATAAATCGAATTTAATGCATTTTTAAGCATTCCTAGTTGGTTAAACCCTTGAAACTGGAGCCCTATTAAACCCTTGAAACAGCAGAGGATCTGACAGTTTGGAGATGCTCCCAAATCAGTGTAATTTTGTTCTCTGTGTCTGTAACTGCTCCTCACAGGGTACCCTCAGCCTCGTCTCTACTGGTTCAAAAATGGGCAGCCCCTAAAGGCCTCGGATCGTATCCTCAAGACTGACAGGCAGGAATTCCACTCCCTGGAAATCCGTGATGTCACCAAAGCAGATGCCGGCCAGTACTTGATATTTGTCATCAACTCTGCTGGCTCTGCATACTCCTCAGCCAGGCTGGTAGTCAGAGGTGGGTATTGCTCTGGTTTGGGCTGTTCCAGAGGCTCTCACCATTTTGTGTAGTTATTTTTTACTGAGGGAAGCCTCTCAAAATAACTCAGGTGGGGTGGGGAAGTCTGTAGGTAATAGATATGTGCTTGACTCTTGGTTCACCTATAAATTTATAAAATTAAGAAGATGATGATGATGCCACTTCTCTCTGGTCTGACTGTTGTCTCATAAGCAGGTATTTTATTCTTGCCCATCCTCATTAACCTTAAAAGTTCATATCGTTAAAACTTTGTGACTCTTACAAGCCACACAAATATTTCTGTGTAATAGCTCTTCAGGAGCTTTTTCCTGCAACTCATGGATTGACACTTATTTGCATTTGTCATGTTGTTTTTTCTCTTTGTGTTCCAGATCCTTATGAGAAAGAAGAGCCATCCAAAACAGGTGAGAGAAGCCACAGCAGGTGAGGACAGAAGCCCCAGGAATTTTTCAGTCTAAACTCACTGTGCTTCATCAATAATATTATTTCCAGATTCCCAAGAGCAGCTGATACCACCAAGATTCCTTGAAAGATTTACAAATAAGAAAGTGAAAAAGGGTGCAAGCATCACATTATCTGTGAAAGTTGAAGGTGAGTGAGCAGATTCCTCACCTCTCTGAATAACACTTGAAATGTGTAACTTCACAACACATTTTTCTCTTTCTGCCCCCAAGTCATTGTAACCTCATTTCCTGTATCTGAAGTTTGGGATTCTACTCCCAACTTACATTCCTTACAAAGACACTTCACACAACAGGATCTTATTTTCCTTCACCTCCATTTTCCTGGATGTAAAAATGGGGGTAATGACACTTTGTAGTATGATGCATGTTGACCATTAATTGGATGGTGATTGACAATTTTGGATTTATGGAAATATTTAATGTCTTTACGAGTGTGCTGTAAAATGGTTTATTCTCCTTTATTGCATATTATGCCTGTCATTGTTGGGAAAGTATCAGAAAATGGATCATATTTTTAATGGAGGAACACAAACAAGAAGATTAAAGCTCCTTACACCAATTTTCCTTTAGGACATCCTCCACCAACAATCACTTGGATGAAAGAAGAATCTCGGGAAGACATCCTGTGGATCAAACCTGACACTCCTGGGTATAAACTTGCCAGTTCCAACATGCACCACAGCCTGATCCTGCTGGATGTCAAGAAGAAGTACAGTGGAGCTTACACGTGCATTGCCACCAACAAGGCTGGCCAGTCCATCTGCACTGCCAACCTGGAAGTTGCAGATGGTAAATCTTGGCTACAACACAAACATTTCCTCTTTATTTCCCTTTTATGCAGTGCCTAAGGGCAAAAAAAAAACCATAAAACCAAAAAAATCCCCAAACAAACAAACAAAAAAAAAAACTAAAAAAAAAAACAAAAAAAAAAAAAAAAAAAAAAAAAAAACCCAGGTGTGACTATTAAGGAAATTATCCAATCACACCAGAAAAATGCATTTTCTCAAGAGCAGCTATGATTTTGCTTGTCTTGCAAATGGTTACACTCTTTACTTCTATAAGATTTTAGATTTCTGACTCTGTCTTTATTAACTGCAGCATCTTTTCTGCATAAACAGAAGGCAAGTCTTAGGAACAACCAAATTAAGCACAAATTTTAAAGAATAAAAGAAAGGCAATGTAAAGTAACTGGGAAAAGACACCTTTTGAAAAATTATTTTGTGTGCTTCACTCTGGTGAGATATTTAGGATTGTATTAGAGTTATTTGATTTTTGTTGGGCTTTCCAACGCCTCTTTTAATACAATAAGATGGGGGAAAAACAAATATATATTGGGAATAGGGGCAGAGCTGTGAAGTATTCAATTTTTCTGTTATCCTGCCTTGCATCCCACATTTTTATTGTACCAAGAGCTGCAGGGGCATAACTTGAGCAGTGTGGAGAAATGGGGCAATTATATATTTTCCATGAACAGGGAGAGGAGGAAACCATTGCCATCACAGGACTGGGAATAGAGATTCCAGCAGTGCTCCCAGTAATCCGTGTCTAGAAAATGTGCCTGCATTAAATACCTAAAAAAGGACATTCTGTGCCTTCTGTCCCCTAATGATAAATGTCTCCCAACCTTGCAGTGAAAGAGGCTGAAGTCCTGACCCAGGAGCGTGTGATGGTGTCAGAAGCCATCATGACCACACTGGGGTAAGTGATTGGATGTGCAGGACAAGGGGGATGAGGAGAATGTTCCTCATTTAGTTCTCCTCACTGCCCATTTTATTGCAACTTTTAACTCTGCTTTATTTTCTTTTTTTCAGAACTATTCAGTCCTCTGAAGGTAAGAAGCTGTTTTTTCTCTCTTCTTCCTGTTCTCCATATCTACAGCTGAGACTGTCAATGTATTTCATGTATCCACTTATTTTTGTCCAGTTTTCTTGAAATTGTCTGAAATGATGGAACCTTTCAGGACTGCTTGCTGTTCTAGAGTGAATTATTTGGATGAACTGAGAGCAAGCACAGTTTTAAAAACAGGAGAAGGGAAAAAATTTAAACCTTCCTCCCACAGAAGCTTTTATTACTCAAAAAGAGATGAATTTTCACTGAGACTTCCAGCTTAATAACAAATTCTCTTTTTTCCAGGAGACCTTGAAGCTGGCAGAGAAGGTGTGCCCAAAAGCCCTATTTCATTAGCTGATGTTGGCTCAGAAGAGTTCTTCCAAAAACTCACCTCACGTATCTCAGAAATGGTATCTGCAAAAATAACTCAGGGTAAGGAATCTGGAAAACACAGTTTAATTACAGTAAAAAAAAAATAAATCTCATTTTTTAGGTGTTGTTGAATTGTAAGTGAGACTTAAGGCTTTGAGACAGTCATTGTATATAAACAAATGAACATTTGTCAATGCTTAGAGGTAAGAAATTTTAGTAGGTGTCCATCCAACCTGCACTTCTCAGTCCAGAATTTTGAACTAGGAAAAAAAGCCATCACAGTAAATTGTAAAAATAGAAGTATATTTTGCATATCTTAGGTATTTAGAGTTCCTCAGATACTCATCACTCCTAAATGAGAAAGCAATCCTGTTTTCTCTACTTCCCACATCTTCAAGTTTTAGCTAACAGCGGAATTTTAAAATCAAATTAAGGCCGAAAACCCTGAGCACAGCTGTGCAGTAATCCAATGATTTGTTGAGTTGAATAAAAAATTCTGGCTTTTGTCTGCCCTGATTATCTTGTAGAAAAAGTTTAACTTGGAGCAAAAATAGAGGCATTAACTCTCCAACAAATATTCTTGCAGTGCAGCAGCAACACATGCAGTAGACCTGCAACATCATGTATGAAAACATCCAAATTATTCATTTAATCCTAAATATCAATAAGAAATCACACTAAATATTACTGTGAATACTCTTCCTAAGAAAATTATGATAGATTTGGTTCACATTTAAATTGAGGATACTTATTTAACATCCTGCTCTTGCTCTGCTTTTCAGCCAAACTCCGAGTACCAGGTGCAGAAAGTGATGATGAGTCAAGAACTCCCTCTGCATCTCCTCGCCATGGGAGGTCCAGACCTTCATCCATTGCTCAGGAATCCTCCTCTGAATCTGAAGATGGGGATTCCAGAGGGGAGGTATGATATCTTTATGGGCAAGCTGGACACAAGGAGAAAACTGAACTTAGAATGACCAACCTACTATGGTGTAGGGATCTCCATCCTCTTTTGTGATGTAATTCAATTTTGGAGGTGTATTTAGCAGTTAAATGCTGTGTCTGTGATACAGAGCACAGAGAGAATCAAATTCTGATGCTCACCCTGTGATCCTGATCAGGTCAACATGGTCAAAACATACCCATGATTTGGCACCTCTTGCTTCCATGGCTGAACTTCAGAAAGTCAGAACTTGATTTTCTGTGGCCTTGGATAGAGTTGGCCAGAGGAATCTTGTTGGGCAGTTCTTTATGAAGGAAATGAAGAGCACAGAGTGACTGCAGTTTCGTGCCTGCAGATCTTTGATGTCTACATGGTCACTGCTGACTACGTGCCCGCGGCGCCGGACAAGGAGACCATCACCCTGAAGGAAGGACAATATGTGGAAGTCCTGGATTCAGCTCATCCTCTGAAATGGCTGGTCAGGACTAAACCCACGAAATCGAGTCCCTCTCGACAGGGTTGGGTGTCTCCAGCTTATCTGGACAAGAAATTAAAGGTGATTGATCATGTTTGGTTATTTCTCAATTAAAATTTATTGCTCCTGTTGCAGTTTAGAGCCATTCCTTTTGCAAGCAGTGATGGAGGAGGAGATTGTTGAAGGGGTCTGGAACAAGGTTGTACTTTTTCATGTTTTTAGACGATATTTCTGGTCTGTGCAGGGATTTCTGGGTTGGAAAGACCTAAAAACTCTCCAGTACAAGAGAAATTTCACATTGGTTTAGTAACTGTTGAACTAAACAAGACTGTGAACACATGAGAGATATTCCTCAGTAAGTATAGATAAAAGCACTGTCCACTTCCAAAAATTATTTTTATTTTTTTCCTAATATTGTAGTTGTCACCAGAGTGGGGAACAACAGAAATTCCAGAGTTTCCTGGAGAGTTTGTTTCTGAAGATGAATATAAAAGGAAGCTAAGGTGAGCTTGTGTTGTTTGGTATTTGCACCTTCAAATTTTCCTGCCTTTTGAACCACTTTTATTTTGTGATTGGTTTCAGTCTAGGAAAATTCCAGGCAATAGAGATCACAGAATCTTAGAATGGTTTGGGTTGGAAGGGACCTTAAATACCATCTAGTGTCAACAAGTCCCGTGGGCAGGGACACCTTCCACTGGCCACTTCCATCCATCCATGCATCCATCCATGCATCCATCCATC